AAAACATCACCTGTTCCTCACTTCCACATAAGTTAGCGAAGAGAGTATGCCCGGGTGCCGAATAACTGAGTACCATAAAGGCCACATTAAAGAGATATTTCAGCCTGACCCTTCGGCCTACATAGAGCCGCGAGTTATTTACCACTTGGCAGCTATTCAAGCCAAGTAGGTTGACATATCAAGATATTTCATCTTACCTCCTTGCTGAAATATCCGCCCTGTTTACTTAGCAATTACCAGGGTCAACTTACTGCACTCAAAACTATGATTTTTCCATCCGAGTAACCTACCTTTTTTCAGATTTGAAGGACAGTTCTAGCCGAATTAACTGCTTGAGGGCTCTTACGGGATCTGGCTTATTTTATGAAGTATTGGCCGAACTTTTGGGATCTGTTTTAGCTTAGAAAGAATTATTTAGGGGAGATTGTACAGCGTAATCTTAAGATATTTCAGTCACGCCAGGATATCGGCCACTCAGCGAGTTTCTTTCCGACTGCCTTTAAAAAACGCACCCAGTATAAAGTGGCTACCCAGTTAGTATTATTTTTTCCTTTGATATTCAGTGTTCTTAGATATTACAATATTTTTTTGAAGAAAAGTACACAAAAGTATTTTTCTTGTACCCATTTTGCAGAAATTTACGTCTTCAAATTGTATACTCGAAGGAAGGACATCTTTCTGTTTCTAAATACTTTCGGTTCTCTAATTTGAGCCTGACCAGCAGCCGCACTTGTGTTTAGGGTTTTAAGCCACATGCTGCCTACTTTCCTGTAAGGAAAATCATACATTTCTCTACACCATCAAGAATACGTCTTATGGAGCTTGTGAAATTTTGCAATGGGTGTGAGCCATGTTTTAAACTTTGTAGGCAGTATTGATAAATGGGTAGATTACGGTGCTGCATGAATGGCAATTTCACGGTCGTAGAGTATCACATAAGTACACACTTTTTGAAATCGAGGGATACCCTTTCTGAATTTTAATTTAAGTAAAACTTACTTTTCCACCAAATGAGCACGAGAAAGAATACCTTGTACATGTCTTCTGTAAAAAAAGGCATTTTAATTTGTAAGGAAATCAAAAATTAGTGGAATAATTCATGCCACTTAAGTAGTCCCTTTTACCATGTGGTTTTCCCATGTGGCCGGGAAGAATTGCGTCCAAAGGCTGCATCCTGGTCCGGCTGATATTTCTAGGGATTATGCTGCATGAGAACTAATATTGCAAGTTCATTTAAGTAATCCTCCCAAATCGTAAACACATTTCTGATTTTCTTCAATCATTCTATGAGATAGGCCAGCCACTTAACATAGTCTTGCCGTGGTAAGCGTAGATTCTCTCAGTCGTAGGTAGTAATTCTGTGCTGGTTGTCTTTTTGTCTATCAGTAATTTGCTGAAGAAATCTGTTCCCACGGAGTTAACTTATCCGGCATCCCAAGTCCAGGTGAGGATGTCTCTGCGGACGTGTATTATTGTGTTCAGTACAGGCGTTGTGCGCAAATTCCACCTGCATCTGGTCAAGAATACTGTCCACGTTGTATGGACGCTCGAATTTGGGAGCTCAAACAGTTGAATGAATAGGGAATCCAATTACTCTTTTGCCCAGCTTACCCATCAGGCAGACTGGCACTTGTTCAAGTTCCTCGCAAATATTTTGTGCGATTACACTAGACAATGTACATGATTGACCAACTGTCGGGCAAAAACGCGCAAGTGGAGAGCATCCTGACAGTCCTGCTGCCTGATGCTTTTTATCCATTTGCTCTTCAGCTGACTGCCTGATTAGACTTACATACTCTTTCATCTGCCTATCCACCCTTTAAAGGCCATGACACCGACCAGGATGTCCCACGCGGCGTTGATCTTCGAGGCTTTTACTCACGCAACTGTCTCGCCTTCGCTGTGGCGGCGCTCTCCAGCTACTCGCGTCATCTCCGCGGCCTAGCCAAGGCAGTGATCGCACGTTACCGTCAGCTCTCTGAGGTCTGGAAGCCCACGAAGGTCCCCAACGTGCCGGCCAGTCTGGCTGTGATGAAGCAGTTCCCTGAACGAGTCCAGGCAAGAGCGCTAGCCTGTTTTCCCGCAACAAACTAGCCCACGTAGCAGTCTGGATATGTCAATTGCTAAGCTTTCCTCCTTCACACTGTGTTCTCGAGGGGCATTTTTTCAGGGAACCGATAATCTGTTTTTAAATTATTTTAAGCCGACAGCCATATCTTTACTAAAGCAGGCAAGCATGGCAGGATTTAATGGTGCCAACAAATTTCGCGACGGATCGTCAGCTGCGTCCTGTCGTCTCATGACATAGACAACGACTGGAAAGAATACAACAGATTTGAATTCATGCAGAAACAACAAGGTGATGGCTTTGCGTAAAGCCGGCTAATCGATAAGCTTAGTAACTCAAACAAAGTATGGGAAGAATTGTCAAAAAAGGCTTTAACGAGTACAAAAAAGGGGAAGTGAAGATCATGGTGCTTAGGGCAAAGCATGGCAAAGTTAAGCTAACCACATGTTCTAACTCTTTACGAAGACCTGGCTTCACCCGCCGTATATAGGCCACCTCCAGGTAACGCAATGTCCGCGTTGTTCGTGCCCTGCTTGCCCGCTTGCGCTTCGTACTGGGGACAAAATACTTCAAACTATATATTTGGTTCACATTTGTTTTTCTTTCCCAGTTGCCGAAAAATCTACTGAATCTTGCAACTGTACAATATATCGGCACTGCCCTTTCTGCCGAATAGCGTTTAACCGAAAAATAACAACTGGGAGGAAAAGCACCACGACTTGTTTTCTTTGTTGGAAAGTTTTGAATTGACAGTATTAGGTTTCTCAGCACCTTCTCGTAATATCCTGTACAGTGCTTCACTAACAAATGAGAAAACCCAAAGTAACGCGACATGTGACGAGGATAACTGTCATTATTCGCCTTCAGGCTTATTTGCACGCTAAGACAACTTCGCAAACGGGAATCGTAGTCGCGTTATCGTTATGCTCACCGCGTTGCGTGCGATTTTCAGTATGAATGCTAGACGTTTCTGATGATCCTGCTTCCCCTCTGTTTTGTCTCAGTTTATATATTAGTTGGTCGCCCTAACCGGTGTGAGCCACTGTCACCGGATTTTGTTTTTGGCATTTACGCGTGGCGGAATGTCTGGTGGTCGGTGTTAAAGTGTGTCTTGAGGTATGCGGTGAGTATCCTAGATGTGGATTACGGTACAGGCAGACTGAAACTTGTGACATCAAATAAGCCACAGCTGACCTCTCCAGCCCCTCTTCTCTTTATCAGCATCTTGCCTGCATCATCGCAGGTTCGAGTGTTGGTTTTGTTGTTGTCTGGCAGGAGATTATCGCTGTGGACTTTCATTTCCAGTTGGACGTTCTACAGGCAAGACAGATTCAAGATAGTTGTGGTAGGCGGTGAAGTAGCCTACGCGCGCAGCCTGTATGGACTCACATTTGGCAGCTCCTGCATTAGACCTTTCTGTTTGGAGTCACGGAATCCGCAGAGCTGTGAGAGCCGAGACAGTCATTATGTCGTATTCATTGTCCCAAAACGGGTCAAGAGGTAGATGCGCTGGACAAACACAGGTGCTTGATCGGGGTCCGGCAGGCGTTATTGGGAAGGCGCACCCAAAAGAAGTGCCAACGTTAGGGTGCGGCGGCAAGCCCGGACATAGGCCCACCCCGCACCAGTCGGTATTCAAGCTGCCCTCCCTCTCCTGTTTCCTGCTGTGTACGATCCTCACCAATTGTGCATTGTTGATCAGGGGGCGTGTTGGTACGCCGAGGCGCGGGTTTTTGCTGTGCCGGTCACCTGCACCCGTCTCCGGTCTTTTTGACTCCGTCATGACACCGAGCCCCAGCGGGGGAGGAGGAGAAGACGCGGCAGGTGAGTGCAAGTCTACCACCACTATGAACTAATTAACCCCCAAGTTGCCGTCCCTCCTCCTAGTCTGCTGTGGAGCACACGCGGGACATCGTCGGCAACGGGGATCGAACTGTCTGGTTGTATTCTGCGGGTTGAAGTTGCGTAACTTCCGAGATCGATGTGCGCGGAACCGGAATGACACGGTTGGTCGGAGAGGTAGTGTTCGTTATATCGAAGTGAAAAGGGACCCGTGTAAGGCCAAAATGACCTGGATCCTGCGTGTGCGGGCAGATCCTGTGGAAGCAGTAAAAATCAGAGCGGGTCCTCTGTTGTTACCGTTGTTATTGTTAATGTGACGATGGACGCGACGGTGTCCCATAAGACCAACGAGAGAACCTTGAATGAATCGCAGTAGTGAAAAAGGCGTGGGATTTTGTTTGGTATTGGCGGCCTTTTTCCTCACTTTTCTAGTCTATCGTCCCTGTCGTTTCATCTTGGCATTTCTTAGGGGACTGATTTCGGTGAATGCAGCTCCACTTTCACGGCAGATCCCTAGTCTTGTCGATTCTCTACGAAATTTTCCTTGTTTCGGAGATTTGAACTGCTATCGCGCAAGCCGATGGTGACGCTTTATCTGATTTTGCTTTCCAAGCCAGTTAATTTGGCTATAGTATCAGTTCAGTGCATACTAGCTCCCCGTATTGCGCTGTTGACGCTTATTGATACGCGGCAACAGTTTTGACCTACTCATTGTCATTCCGACATTTTCGCGCCCAGAAATGAGGAAATCCGACTTGCGCTTGGATGCCACAGAAAGTGCAGTCGTCCAGTCGCTGGTCATGTATCCTTCTAAATCTTTGTAGAGGCATGCATTCTTCGAATGTTGAGGAGTTTAGCTTTTGTTTGGCGTTTGGTGTTGCCATCTTGACGTTTATTCCATTAATTGTTCGTCAACACTGGAAAACACATAGCAGTGGTAACAGTAGATTTGCCTCCCTGTGCCTTATTGCTGGGACAACAACCTTCCATGGCTCATTTCTGTCAATTCTACCCAACTTCGTCTAAATGTAGCAAGTATTTCAGCCCTGTTACTACGTTCAACGACGTGTCATGTGTACTTTTTTTTCAGATGAATTTCATCCTGGACACTATTCGCAACAGTCTGAGTGACAAGGCAGAAGCCCTAAACGGTGGCTCTCGACGTCCCTTCCTCTTTGGTTCCAAGGCGGACACTTCGTTCCGGCTCACACGCGTCCACGCAAACTTCTTTGTCCACGTACTGCTTATGTTAACCAAACCAGGTATGTTTCGGACATGTCCGTGTTTGCTACCCAAGGTCCATTCTTCCATATGTGTTACATCCCTCATGCCTGTGTTTTCTATCCCCGCTAGAGCATCGTATGTACGAGGTGTTCTGGAATTGTCTCCTGGCAAAGCCGGCCGTTGATCTTGGTGCGGTTCCGGACTTCATGCGCACCATCTTCTCAGTCCACGAAGATGTGAGTCTGCATCTTGATTCCCTGTCGGCCTCTTTTCAGCCTCGTCTGGTTTTAACTCAACCCACCGGCTGGGCACACTTTGAAAGTACACATAATGAGCATTTCAATTACATTAAGAGGAAGTCATTGCAGTCCCTGACCCTCAGTCCTGAGTGGAACTGACTTATTCCATCTGTTGGCAAATTTCCAAGCCACGGTTGTTAGTATGTCATCGTAGTTGTGAAATGGGTTTATTGTTTATGGTGCAGAAGCCAAGCGTTGCATCGGCTTTAGTCTACCACCTCCCCTCCCCCCCTTCCCATCTCCATCATGTGTTGCCGGCCTGTTCGAGTCATGCCAATTTACTATGAGACTGGGCGAAGCCACGGATGTCACTTAAAGTCACCTGTTATCGCATACGGTCCGCGCATGGGCTCAGATCTCACATACTGTATGTTCATGAGATGTGTGTAAGTTTGCAGGAAATCTCAGATCGCCGGGAAACCGGTCCCAATGCATTGACTAAAACTTCCAATTCATATTGAACGATCTTAAGTGAGATGAAAACGTAAAAGGGGCATCAGTAATATTACGTTTGTTAAAAAAACAACTTTCCTTTAAACAAATCAGAAATGCAAAAAAACGAAGACCGTGTAAGATGGGTGGCACACAAGTCTTAGAAGTACATCAGGCCTGTCTATTCAAATGATTGAGTAAATGAAACGACCTAAGTGGGACAAGATTTCAAAATAATCCATTCGTGTATTCTACGCCTAAATATTCTCCATGAATTACTTGGAAATGAAATAGGGCGGTTAGCCAATTGCCTACAGTTTGAGTATGCATTTCAAAACGGCTTCACGAGAATTTGCAGTGCCTGGGATGCGGTTGACTAATACGTAGTGAATCTCACTTGGATTTCGTTGTTAGGGACGTCGCAGTAATGAAAGTTTTCGTGAGGTCAAGGTCAAGGAATTTAAATAGGATTGGCGAATGCGATCGTAAGCATAATATTTTGTGTGTATCGACTGAACTTTTCTTCAGTGGGATCCCGGTATGCTGTTCGACGATGATAGAGTCCGTTGAGTTTCAATGTCCTCAAAATGTTCATGAATACTTTACGCTTTTCAATGTTCTCGGTTAACTGTCCAAAAAATCGGCCCCGTATTGTGTTTATCGAAACCTTCGAAGTTATCCCGTTTTTGAAGGCATTTACCTAGGTCATGCGTTTTCGGGTATTATGTTTTATGCAGACGACCGAGTCATATTTGCGGGCTCATCCAAACACGAAGCCCTATCGCTGAAAACATGAACGTCCACAGCAAAGGCCTGCCGTGAATATGCGCTATATCGGTAGAAAAACCTTCCCCAATAAATTATTTATAAGCGTCTTTATAGAGTATTTCACTGGTTAATGTCCAACTACTTTACCTCTTTTCAAATCATAATGAAAGAGAAAGGTGGAACGTTTGACCTACTTATGAACTTTCCTAGGAAACACAGATAGTTTTTTATACTTTAAACGGAAAAACTCGCTTTGCTGTTTACGTTGGAGCCACTTTTATTATCTTCACTTGCTTTTGGACACCGTCCTACGATTATACATACACAACAAAGTGGCTAATGCTCCGCTCGTTTCGATTCTAAACTACGTGTTAGCAGAAACTAGACCGCACAAAAAGTGCCTTACCAGGTACCCGAAAATTAAAATTGCAATTTGGTGATAAGCCATTCCAAGCTGCTCTCAATTGCGTTTCGGTCAAATTGTGAAGCCCGGGCGACTACACGATTATGCTTGAGGACATTCCTAGTAACTGTCTGAAGGTCGTCATCGGAAGACATCCGTCATACTACTACAGCATGAGCAGCCTCGCTGCAAATAGCCCAATATCCTTGCAGTTTCGTCACGTCGCAATGGCGAACGACGCTGATGCTTAATACTATACTCACTCAAAAGCCCCCTCGTCCGTACTCCTCTGAAACAAACTCCCTTAGTCGGAAATCTCGCCTTCAATTATTTAGGGCTACATCCACTTAAAACATCCCCCCAACTTTTTTGCCGTTCTGATATTTTGGAAAATTCTCTGCAGACTGTGCCTCCGAAAGACGGTGTTCAAGCACCCCTCTGCCATTTCATCCACCTCAATCCGATCTTTTTTCTAACTTCAGCATCGTATTGAACGACAGTGGATGATAAAATTGTGTGCGGAGACCGTCAACGACACGTCTGATTATCTGCTCCTGGAAAAGTCGCGTGTCTTCAAGTACTGCCTGACTATGTACTCTGATCCGGCTGTTGATGCAGCGACCCAGGTACACCGTTTTTCTCCTGTACCTGACGTCACATCGCATACATTTTTAGTAGAACATCTGATTAGTATGATTCCAGTCGCTCAAAAAGACCGCGTCTAAGAATACTTTTTTCTGGCGTTTTAATCTGTAAGTTGACGGTTGTCGCACACTTATTGGTGCTTTGGAAAATGGAAATTCAGGTTAGCTATGCAGAACAAACCTTTCGAATGGGCCCAACAATTGGAATATATCCCCCGTCACTGCAGCAGATGTATTTGCTATTATCGCTTTCAGGCAACCATAATGCGTGCGTGACGCAAACAAGAGATCCAGATACCTCGGTTGTACTGGCCAAAATACTCAAACTGTCTCGATTCCTCGAGTTGTATCAGTTACCAGCAGTACACGACGTCCGATTTGTTAGTTACGCTGCAGCTTCCAACTGACTTCTTCCCGAGTCTTTGTGCCAGCTCATGGAGCTGACTCTCACATGGTTTAACCTATCTCAGGGTCAAGATTTTGCCTAATGAACATACCTGTGACGGCCTTTTTGCCATTCCTTAGCTGTCCCCGTGACATAATCGTCTGCGTCTGCCATTTCCGCTTTTATGGCTGTTCATACCGGCTTATGTGTATAGAAGGCGAGACAAAACGGATGGTCTGCGATAGTAATTACCTGAGAACGATCCGTCGAATGTGACCTACTGATTACTTCACCATCAGGACGGTTTGCAGCCAGTGCATCGGCATCGCGAGAACTCTGCAGACAACCCAGAAGGAACGTATACAATAGAGTTTAACATATCGCCTGCAGTGAAGGCAGTGCTTCACAACCGTCTCTTCACCAAGATTGTCGAGTCTGTCAGTTTTTAAGTTTGACTCGGCACGCTTTGTCAAGATGTCGAGGCGGTTTATGGACACTGCGTACTCTGTTAACAACTCATCTGGACGCGGTGCCTCGAGTTTATCTGGTAAACTGTGACAAGTTGTCCTGTGTAGAGAGCCATCGTGCGAATGGTCACTGGAGCAGGTTGTATTAGGCATGATCTCAGTAAATTCGGTGTAAAAGTTTCAGCAAACGACATTCCGGCCGTCGTTGCTTCTCAGTGAGGTGAAGCAGGCACTGTGACTTGCGCGTGATTTAGTTTGCAGTGAATTTATACTTGCGCAGCTTCTACCTCACTCTCCTCCCCACCTAAACCTGGTCTCAATACTTAGTCAAGACCGGAGGTGAAGGAGGGCACCGGTGGCTGGCATGGTCGGACCCGCACCTAGGCGTACCACCCCACACCCCCTGGTGCGACAAATTGTCCTGTGTAGAGAGCCATCGTGCGAATGGTCACTGAAGCAGGTTGTATTAGACATGATCTCAGTTGTATGAAGTTCAAGTACTAGTAAATTCAGTGTAAAAGTTTCAGCAAATAGAGGCCACTAGTCAGCCCACTTTCCTGACATCGCAGGTTCATCTTAATGGATTCACGGGATACTTTATTACTGTCTATTTAGGCCATTAGTTTATTCAAGTGCTCCCTGTCGTAGTATGGCCACCCCCTGACAGATGAATGTTGGCTCTCGAAACATTCGTTTTCACGGACTAGCATTCCGACTTAGGAAACTGCTTTAGCGGTCTCACTTTCACCTGTCCTTTTTTCCTTACTATTGGTTTCCATTGTATTTCAAGCTTGCCGCATTTCCCAGTTGTATTTTAAAAAACGTGGAAACCAGACAGTTTATCCGACAGTCTCCCACGTGCCACCTCTTAGAAATCGCCCTCTATATAAGCGTATATTTTAGTTCCTTTGTCAATTCTTCAGACTGGCAACTTAGATCACCCTGTTGTGGGCCAGTTCGTTTTAACCGAAAGGCGTCACTTTCTTTGACCAATTCCTCTGCCTTTCTAGATTCAAATCCTGCGCCTTCTGGTGGCGACTACGAAAATACCCCGCGCTTGTCACGCTCTGACGCGGTTCCACGCATTCCCCCTATGGCTTTTCCGAAACGCCCTGGGTTCTAAGTAATGTCAACTCCACTTCTGTCTCCTGTTCTCTTAATCTCCTCATTTACTGCTAAGTCTGACCATTCATTCTCACACCCCCCCCCCTTAAGGCACACGCCATCCCTTCCCTACTTCTCGCACATTATCAAGCAAATGTTGACCGCCTTCGAGGAGGCCAAAGAGGAGTCGCCTGCCCTGTCAATTTTGAAACTCCTGGATTCTACGTTCAGGTATGCTCCGCTCGTAAGGTCAATGTTGACCTCTGTCTTATAATCTACCGCCAATGATTGTTCGGTGTCCTCATGCTTGCAGCCCTATAAGTTCTATGTATAGTCCACCTCTGTCCGCCTATGGTACTCAGTTATAAAACCATCGCGCCAATCGTTTCTCTTGGTCGCACATCGAGCCCTGCCAGACGTCTGCAACACAACCAAAAACGTTGGAGATTTTAATGTTTTAGGACGGTCAGCCACCATAGTATTCACTCATTGCAGTGCTTATCTGTCGGATAGCATATACGCCCCACTAGTCTGCACACAACGAAAACGCCAAAGACAGCTGGCAAAGCCGTCCTAGTGGGCAAGATAGGATAACAACGACCCAGCTCTAGTCATCGCTAGCTGACAGAGGCAAAGCATGACATCCGAACCGTTTTTTTTTTGGAGCTCCCGAACTCATACAGAGATCCATCGTCGGAGTTTACCGCAGTAACGGAACAAGTAATGGTTATTTTGATCGGTAGCCAATCAACGACCAATGTCGCACGTCTGACATGGCTGCGCAGTGCTCTGCGTGCCTGCTCCAGATCAATACATCGATCGATCGATTTCTCATCCGATTGCCAATCTTTAGTCAACCCTCGGTTGTCTTGTTTTCTGTATGAACAATAATCTTAGCAGCTGCGAAGTTCAACTCCTGATCTGTTTCAAAGGTGTGGGCAGCCACTTGTGATAATTCATCACCCCATTGCACAGCCACCTTGTGCTCCTAATTGCATGATTGAGCATGCGCTCAGTCTGACCCTCGTAACTACAAAAGGACGGTTTAGGCACGGGATACTTTGAACCACACCCGACTGCTGCGCATGGTAACTCCGGGCTTGTGTGCAATTTCACTACGTAATACCGCAATATTCCGTTCGGTTGCCTCTGAGATGTATTTAATGTGACAGAACACGCCATATCCTCAATGATGTTTCTCTTTGGGTCCTCTGAGGACAAACACGTAGGGTTGGGCCTATAAATGCCTTCGGGCAACCGTTCCGTATGAATTCTTATGGAGTTATCGGGCCTTAGGTACCTTTTATGAATTGTTAAAGCGAATCTGTTAAAGCGCGTTCTCACACTGCTCCTGATGACTTTAGGCAGTCTTTTCTGGTTCCTGTAGAACCAGTTCTGCCGCTAGACTGGAGATTGGTGAGCCGATTAGAGTTTCCCTCATCTGCCCATATGTTTCTCCAGCAAAGGTTAAGTGGGGTTTTGGCGGAATTCGAACGGTCCCATGAGGTAGTCAATTTTGAGAAGACTTTGTATTTCGTCGATTACCCCTTCAGGTTTATTGCGCAAGACTTCGTGCGCCAAAGTGGGGGCAGATCGGTTGAATAAACTGCATACCGATTTCAGCGCAAGGACGTGGTAGCATAGAATGAATGGCGCCAAATGAAACCAATAGACAATGCTCTTGTCCGATTCTAAGGTCACCCAAAGGTTCACAGACCGAGCGTTTTACTGCGGCCAGATGTTGCTCTAAAAGACAGCCCTGTTTATGATTTGACTAGGTGGATATACTCAACACTGATATTTTTCCTGGGTAATCTGACTTGGCCGTTGTCTTTTTCGACGTGACGTCTTTGTTCTCATTCATCACCCCGGGCATCATGTATCAACCAACACTTACTCCAGAGTACGTGGAATCTGTCAATCACTGCCAACGGCCGTCTTCCTACCGGCTTTGACAAATTCGTTAGTTCGCGAAATAGCAGCTCGAATTTCCAAAACCAACCAGACCTTTGCCAGACTTCGGCCTTTAATGTGGTTGGGACCTTACAGGATCATCTTGACCACGCCTCTATGGGGCATAAAAGGCCGACTTCCCTATCAGAGCCCTCTCAGAAAGCTCCGCTTGATGAATTCTGCAGATGAGATGGCAAGAACGGATGCTAGACACTCAGTTTCCTGATTTCTCTGCATTTTTGGTCTATCTGGCCAACCCTTGCCGAAACGGCTTTTGATGGTAGCGCACTTACAGGTGCCGCTGATGACGACAGGGGCAACGCTGCATGTAAACTTTGAGGGTTTCGCTCATTCACTTCGGAATACAATCCGAAATCCTACGTGACTTGCACATAGTAGACCATGTTTAGGACTCTGATCGACTTTCATGAATAGAACTAAATCCACAGTAAAAACACCATAACTTATTCGTCAAACTCGAAGGAGACCACTTCCATTCGGGAAAAGTACAGGGGGACTTGCGGGTGCTTTGGACTATTGTGTAACATCGTTCTGACCGTCTCTGCGTACTTTCGTTCCAATGGCAGAAAAAAAGTTTTATTGACTGGAGTTCTGTCTGAGCATACCGACCAGCCAGGCGTTTGCCTCCCAGCTGTTACGTGTAACGCGTAGGATGCATTATTACCGTCTATTTAGGCCATTCCTACCTTAGTTGGTCAAGTGCTCCCTGTCGTGGTATGGCCACCCCCTGACAGATGAATGTTGGCTCTCGAAACATTCGTTTTCACGGACTAGCATTCCGAGTTAGGAAAATGCTTTAGCGGTCTCTCTTATTACCTGTCATTTTTTCCTTACTTTTGGGCATTGCGTCCACCAGCATCAGCCATTTCCCCATGTGTATGCTCTGTGAACGCGGTAGCCACATCTAGTCCACCACACAACCGACACCACTCCTCTGACCGGTCACACCAACACAACCTCACCCTCAGAGGCCATATGGTCTCAATCCCCAACACCCGGCCAAACCACAGGCCACGGCGAGCCGCTTGCAACTCCAAGGCACAGCACAATGGACTGACTTGTGGAGATACTAATAGACATTCCACCCGGTTGATGTCCACCTGGGTTCCAACCATCTGCAGCTATTCGTTTTTACTTAACAACAAACTGATCCAACCTACTCCATGGGCGACTTATATCTGGGGCTATAATCAGGCTCGTCTGACGTCTCCAAGCACATTGTGATGTGGATTATCAAACCCTTCCCCCAAACCACAAGCGCGATTTGACTGAGAACGTAATTAGCGATTACGGTGGGCGAGCTGCGATTGTGCCTCGCCTGACCGACGTCGATTGTGTCTGTTGCGATACCCATCCATGCGGAACAATCTAAGGCTACTGATCTCGCGTGCTTGATCAACTCTCGAGCTCCCAGGGACTATGCTTCGACACACATGACTTTCCGGATATGTGAAGCCCGTTTCATTTGAGCAGAAAATACAATACATGCGTGGCACACGTTGATGGGTTGAAAGGTCTGGTGTATCACCGCACAGTACCTATCCTTCGGCTTTCTGACAGTCTTGCCGGGGACCTGGTTATGTGCAGGTTTCTATACGCACGCAGTGGTTGTCTGTCGAGCACGGCGGTCGAACTACCGTCTAAGACACAATCAGCTAGTTCACGAAGAAGTTTCCTTATTATATGAGCTACTGTCTTTTTTCTTTGCTGACGTATATGTTTAACCCACTGCCGTCTTCTTTCTGCAGACAAGTATCGAAATGAATCACTAGCCATTTTTCCATGAAGTCATCTTACCTATGGCCAATGGCTGCACCGAACAGCCCGATAAAGCCTGCAAAGAGTTGAAAGGGTAGCCATATGAGGTCTTAACCCGAAGTCTTTTTTTTCTTTAACAGACAACTGCATAGTGAAGAAACGCTCGTGGAAAAGGAGGTGCCACCGGTGGATGTCTGACAACCTTCGATTTCCAACTCCCTGGTTGTGTACAAGCCTAAGATTAATAAGGATTAATAAATGCGATGCCCTGAACAGTCTTTTAGTCTACTTTTAATACTTTATATCCTGTACGTGGGGTTGATTTGGAACGCACTCCTAAGTGACTGGACACTCCCGATCTCTACCAGCAGTTGCGCTAGTAACCCATGTCCGATGGCCAACTTGCCGGAGTTTAAATCCTCAGGCTCCTGCCCGAGGAGGGGAGGGTTAGGTGACAGAAAATAGGCCGGAAATGGCTATTCCAGCGTCCCTTGTTCCTGTCAGTGACAATCTCTACTGAGTGCATGTAAATGTATGCCAGGAAATTCTGTGTCGATCATGGTTATAAACTTACCCGTAACCCTGCCTCCATTTTTCTGAACACCGTGTAGTCTTATGCATTTTAAAGGTGTACAGGAGGTCTCGGCTGCTTTATACGCTCAGTGCGAACGGTTTCTTAACGCCTTGCCCTTCGGGGACTGGACTGCAAGTAAGCGGTGGCGAGTCGGACTACCTACCAGCCCAGTGTTGTGATGGTGTTGTGGTTCATTAAACAATGTTACCTTGCCAAAGCGACCACAGTCTGCGACCGTTTATTCCGAAACCATCTAGTGGGCAGGAGTCCCAACTGCGGTGTTCCACGTCCGCCACCAGTAGGATCACGGAGCATATCACGGCTGGTGTAACTTGAAGTGCCTTGTCTTTCCGAGTTACAAAATCCCGAATTTTCATCATACCTCCGACTCACGCAACGCCAGAGGCGCGAAGAAATGACAGCGCCACCATAACTGTAGAAGCTCGGATGGGGGATGTGACCTGATAACCGTAATCAGGACCAATTTGCGTTTTTAAGGGGCGTCACCAGTTCGTGGCGCGTCCTCTATGTAGCTTAGTGGCGCCTCGGGTCCTTGGTGCCTGCTTCCGCAATGGCGATGTGGGTGTGAATGACCAGACCTCTGCTTCATTGGAGAACCAGTCAGCGTCCGCTTATCTATATTGGAGAAGTCGAATGTTTGCAGACACCTGCGGTTGACTGCCCTTTTGGGGCGGAAGACACTAGCGGAAATTGTAAGATTGTCTGGTCTCTTGCATTGGCCGACGTAGGACTTAACATACTGCACGAAGGAGGAGTTTGGTATGTACGAGAACCACGTTCGTCATTTACCCTCATCGACAACTGGGATAAATGAGCTTCTCAGGTCACGAGGTGTCCCGCACCGTCCTGAGGCCGCTGCAGTCCCGCTGCCCTGACCGTGCTGTGTGGGTTGTGCGCGATACTTGCTGGTCGCTCACACCGAGTGAAGTAACAAATCACTGCTCCGGGGTTTGTTTATAAACTTTGGGATATCTCACGAAGCAGCTTCAGGCACCTGGGTTCGAAGTTTGTGTGTGATTTCCAGGCACCCTGGTCAACCCTCCATTAGTGGAGGGTTCGTAGTTTAGATAGGACGCGGTCGGAAAATCTTTTTGACCAACCAACTTTGCGGTCCGCCTCGTACTGCTCTGGTTTCTGTGTATCCACGAAACTCCGCTTCGTTGCGCCAACCTGAACAGATTTAGGAATAAGACTGCTTCTTGGTGCCTTCAACGCATAATCTACATAGGCAAAAATGGGCAGAGTCCGCAGCGCGTGGCCTTCTAGCGGGTACTTTCCGGTTTGGTTACTTATTGCCCGAGAAACCTGGCGCCGACCCACTCGGGCGACAGAATCCGAAGTCGTCTTACCTCAATCACGACGAGGCCTCATGGCTGCGAAGAGGCAGCTAAAACATGCAAGACGCAAATCCCCCTTCGTGGCGAGCCCCAAAACTGAGCGCGACGATCACGGCGTTTGGTAGTCTCGGCCACTATTATCCCTGCCTCCTTGACCAGTCCCAGAAAGACTGGGAGGTTGCGGGCGGACGGAGGGACAGCGGCACCCGTGGGACTAGCAGTTACCGCGACCTCCCTGCCACCGCGCGCAAAGCTCGTGGAGTTCAGTGCTTCGGATGCCCCCCTCTCCCAGACTGCGCATCCCATCGTACCTCGAAAGCGACCTGCTCAGGTCCGCTTTGTAATCCTCGAACGACTCTGAAAGAATTGGAAATTCGACGTCTACACACAAAAGTCATCTACTTACACTCTCTACAGGTGTCCCACTACTACCAAGTGTTCGCTAATCCCTCATTCAGCCCCCCCCCCCCCTTAACAGAAAACCTCCGGGTTATCATATACGTCCGTGTTGCTTCACCCAGAAAGCGGTCATGCTGTGCCTGGTGCTGACTTGGATAATAACGAACGCATACTATGTTGCAGCAACAAAACATTTGGACAGTCCCGCCGTCCACGCCAAACAGAACCACTCCTCCGGACTGTTTCGCACCCGTCTAAGGCGAATAAGAGAAGTCTACCGCGCAAACTTATTGCAAGCACGTAAACCAAAAGAGTACAATGGAGAGAAAGAAGACGAATTTAGTTTTTGATGCGGTGGCTCGGATTCTATGGTTTCCAAATGACCCTGCCGCCCAAGAAAATGAGAATTCGGAGCATCCTTCAGTCACAGGGTCTAGCGCATTAACAGAAGTCATAGGAAGGCTGAAAAGATTTATAAAAATCTGGAAGTCTTGTATGAAAACAAATGCAAGAGTACGAGGCGGCAAAAATTCCGCTGTTTATTACACAAGAGGAGCGCTGCTAGCCGAATTGCTCTCCATTATCTCCAGTTTAGGCTTTTTGAGATCGCCTTCGGGACCTTCAACAGGCCTCTTCTTCTTGATGAGGTGCGTAACGTCACTGGTGGGAACGTTGTTTAGAGGTTTCGGGGGTGCTATATCTCCTTTAACGTCTTGGCAGGCTGAGCTGTCCGAGTTCTCCTTCTGCCTTTCTTCGACTTCCTTTATGAGTTGCGTGATCTCCTTTGTTTGCAATTCTAGCCTGTGGGCGTCAGCTTTACCTGAATCCGTTTCTGTTTCCTGTGCCTCCAAACTTGCAAGCAATTTAGATTTATGTTTATTGAGGTAGTCAAGTGATGTGGCAAAAGACGCGTTGGACGAATGAACGTTGTTTAACAAGGAGTACGTCACACCGAGTTGAAAATGAGTTTCCGCAATGAGTCTATCGTTCTCGCCTGCATGTTTCATTCTTATCTCGAGACATTCCTAGGAAATAAAATAGTGGGAAGAGTACACACCAAGAGATCGTTGATCGCTTGTTCATGGTCCTCCTTCTCGCAGCTGATTTCTGCGAGCTTCTCAAGACAATCAGCAACTTTTAATTGATGTTCGCTATCTGTATGCTTGCGGAAAAGTGCCTTAGCAACTTCGACAACTTCCCAGGCAAGCTGGAGAGTAGACACGTCCTCGTCGGCCTCCTTATTTTCGGGCAGATCATTCTCAGCAGCACAACTAGGCTCAGGTGCACCAGACTCCAAAGTTAAAAGAAAAACAAAGTACCTCAACGCGAACAGCATCAGAATCGTTGGCGACCTCACCATTTTCGGTTGTAGATCCTTCACGACTTTCCTGAACGACATTTCCAACCGGTAACGAGGCACCTTTCTCCCCATTCGTGTTCTCCGTGGCTCTGGTCTGGGTGTTTCCCTTAGCTTCCCCAGTCAACACCTCCGGGGGATTTTTAGCCTCAGGGGGATCGTCTTCTGTGTCTTCATCCACCTCGCCTATGTTTGCATAATTAGGGAAATACAGGACGTCCAGGACTTACTATCAGATTCATCCGATTCTGCGTTTCCGACAGCCTCGCTTAGGATATGGTTTTCTGACCTTGCGAGCTCCAACAGAGCCGTACCATACAAGAGATTAGGTGTGGCCAAGCTTTCGTGAAAATCTCCGTGTTCTGAAGCACTGATAAAGGAATTATGAGAAAAATAAATGATTTGGAAATGCTCACATCAACTCGCAGGCCTTCTGAAAATTCTCGACCGCACTACTAATCTCGAGGCAAATTAAATCCCGCTTCCCTTTAGCTATAAGTTCCTCTGCTGTGGGGGCAGATTCAACAGACTTCGCCGTCTCACCACCATCCAGAGGAGCCATTTTTAGAAGATTTATGTTTAAAATTCCCTTCTGATATCCCGCGTGTCCGGTCAGATTAGGATAGTCTTCAGTTCATATCAGGAACTCAAGATCTAGGGCGGCCTACTTTCCGCGAAGTGGTATGTTAGTCTTTTGTAATCGTATACAAATGCACTCAATCCCAACAAAGCACTGGGCAATCAAGAATAAACTCTGAAAATTGAAGTGCTACAACGGCGACTTCAAACATTGCAGGGCGCAGCTTCATACTTGGTGATATCTTAAGGGGAGGAGACAGTCGTCTTTACTCGGTTGAACGATTTAGAGACACCACTTGAAAAGATATCCCTAGACCCAAAACTCAGTTCCCAGTTGCGCACAGCACACTGCAGGGAAGGTTTACCTGCTAGGGGAACGACAGCAAAAATGTTTCAGAGAGAACGCCTCAGATGTTCGATTCTACCACGTCCACTTAGATTTAATTTGTCCCCTGTTCCCTTCACGTGGGTACAGCATATTCTGGCAGCGATTGACCGCTTCACACGATGGCCAATTGCCGTTCCCATCTCCGATACCTCTACATAACAAAATCCCCATAGATTTTCTGACGCAGTGGATTTCAAGTTTTAGTGTTCCAGCCACCCTTACAACTGACAGCGGGGATCAGTTTCAGTCTGGCCTCTTCCGTAAGTTCACTAGACTGCACGGATGTGCGCGCATCATAACCACGGGATACCACTCTGCCTCCAACGGTTTCGTGGAGCGTCTACACCGCCAACTCAAGTTTGCACTGATGTCCCACCCAGAACCAACTTCTTGGAGTGATAATCTCCCTCTCGTCCTTGTGGGCATCCGATTTTCTGTCAAGGAGGACATCCAATATACTGCCGTCAAACTTGTATACGGTATATCCCTCCGTCTGTCGGGCGAAGTTGTGCAGTATTCCACGGCGAACACCTACATCCCAAGCACCTTCGTACAGTAATCGAAGCAACGCTTGCATCAAATGCGTCCAACCTCCACTTGTCTGGCATCCAAATGTGTGTTTGCGCATGAGGACTTGGAGTTTAATCTTCGGGACATGACTTTTTAGAGTCAGAACCGAAATTTCAATGAACATTCGAGTCTAAGACAATCAACTACTGTGGAATAACCACGTAATTTCTACTGGGCGGTCGCCCCAAGGCAAAGCGATGCGACGCTGCGTCGTCCTTGCCTTCCGTATCGGCATCATGGGACGACTGCAATATCTGCCATAGGGCATCAACGATCGCCTGAGGAACCTGAGCCAGTCCCTTTAGAGAGACAAATTTGCCATAGTTGTCAGCGTATACGCCCCCGCATAACCAACTAAAAAGCCGTTGAGGCAGTCAGTTTAAGTCAGTTATTTAAGGGCATGAGGCCGTCGCCCTTGAGCTCCCTATTCATATTTAAAAAGCAGCAACATAATTGATTGCTACATCAGTAATTATGGAAATTCGAATGTTGTCGGTATGTGTGAGCTGGGCGCAAACTGCTGCCACTGGTGGAATCGTGATTATATGTACAGTAATTTCTTAGCAAATGAGCATCTAGCCTGCATTTAAAGTGCTCTACACTTTTGGAAACAACCAATACGTCAGGAAGTCCGTTCCATGATCTTGTAATTTTTTGGAAAATAGGCGTTCGGCTAGTCAGTCAGTCGGTGTATTTGAGGGAAATAGGCCGACGTATTCGAAATCCCAATTTGTAAATAAAAAATCGCTAAAATAGGCAAAATGTGAAGACATTACGGCATTAAGGGAATGCAGACACTGATTCACATAGGTCGCTGGTCTCATGGCTAAGAAGTCACATAGTCCGCTTGTTGCTGTAGCATATGTCTGTCAAGCCGACATTTAAATGTCTCCACAGATTGAGACGTGACATTCATCTCGGGCAGGTTATCCCACGGTTCCACGACACGGTTGGAGAAGAAATACTTGCTCACATCCGATCTACCCTGGGGCACACGCAGCTTGAAGGGATGTCCCCGGAGGTTAGTTGTATTGGCGAGTTGGGCTAGTTGGCCGGACATCTGTAAGTTTATGTACTCTTTTCAGCAGTTGATAATCCTTCTCGAGTCACGGTCACCAGGCTCGGACGGCATAAGCTAAATGAGACCGAACAAATGCCCGTGGTTATTTTTGAACAGCTCTTCATTGATCAGCACAAATTATCGCCTCAGAGCAAATAACACCCTATCGCGCGTCCGGCTATCCGTAGTCATCGCGAGGAGGATTCGAGAGAGAAGTTCATCTGGACGTTGATGACTTTCTTCTCCTCTACTTTTGAAATGGACTGTCCAATAATTTCCCAGAAAAGGAGCGTCCAGTCTGCAATTAAATGATTAAACAGCTTCCGAAAGAACCACTGCGTCAGGGAATCCGTTGCATACTCCAATGAACCTCTGCGAGAGGGCGTATCGTCAGATGTCTGTATGAGCCATCTGTAGGTTTTAGGGGTTATCACTCAGAAGGCCCGTTCCAGGCAATTCGGGGAGGTTGTCAAAGTCTAGGATTAACACGGCCTTTGACAATCAGATAGGCTTCAATGAGGTCGTCCCGAGGTTGCCTGTATTTGAGGGGAAACGGACTTAGTCCGGCCAGTCTGGTTTCGAAAGACAGGTGATCAACATTCTTAACCACCTTCGTGGTCATCGCCTATACTATTTTCAGCGGTTGATAATCCTTTCTGAACCGCGATCGCCAGGCCTGGACGGCATACTATAAGTGAGGCCGAACGAATGCCCTGTAGGTTTTTCCGAACGGCTATTTATTGATCTACATAAATTCTCGCGCCAGAGCAAACAACACCCGTATCGCGAGTCTGGCCGTCCTTTGACGCGGCGAAGACGGTTTAGGAGGGAACGGCATCAAGACGTCGAGGTCCTTATGTTCTTCAACATTAGGAAGGGACTGTCCATCAAGGAGGCATCGAAGGAATCATCCTCCTCACTCGTTCTTTTGATGCGGAGTCTTGGAGCCATAGATTTGTCCACATTAAAATTGAGGAACCAACGTGATGACCAACTGCCCAACCGGTTGAGTCTATCATGAGTCATTTTCTTAGAACGCTGTCCAATGCCTTCTTGAAATTTTTGTGGATGACATCGACCCCACCATACTCGTCCACTGAGTGATTCAACCGCTCGGTCGAGAGTAATAAGCTGGAACGGCATGTGTGGTTCTCTCAGAAGACGTGCTGGAGTCCTGGGAGGAAGTGACTCACCTCCAGGGCCTCCATCGCTGCCTTCTTAATTATAGTTTCCATTATTTTACAGCAAATACAGGTAAGACCGATGGTTTAATAGTATTTGGCAGTAGTGCGAGCCCCTCCCTTGTGTTTCGGGCAGATATTTACTGTCTTTCATTCAGATGGCAGCCTCCCTAATTCGAATGGCGAATGTAAGCTATGCGCTGGTGGTTTGGAACGTTCCTTTGCCAATTTTCTCAAGAACTTGCCCGGTCTTTTGTCCGGACCCGCCGACTTCGATTTTGACATTCTGCAGCCTTCTGGCCACGAAGGATGCCGGGAAAAACCGGATTCTAACACGGGATCGGCGGTCACAGCAGCAATTTTAGTATTTGGATGCTGAAGCTTTGTTTCCCTAATGAATACCGGGGCAAATGATCGTCCCAAGCGTTTAGCTTTCTTGCCGTTTTCAACGATTTCTACGCCATTGTCCTCCGTCGGTACTGCAACTTGGTCCTTGTAATTTAGTCGACTGTTAATATTGTGAAACAAAACCTGGGGTTTTCTGCAGTCTGTCGGGTAACTTTAGGTTTATAGTTCCTCTCCGATTGACATATGCATTTTTAAGGGCACCTCGTTGACGACGAAACTCCTTGAATTGTACTGATGACTCAGTTTCTCCGAAAATTTTATAATTACATTTTTCTTCCTTAAGTGTCTATTTAGGTTCCTAGTTGGTCGGGCAGGTCGATTAGTAGTTTTTGTATCTTAACGGGATAAAAGTGACGAGTCGGTTCAAGTGAAATCGTCTTAAATGATTTCCAGTCGTCCTGTAGATCCTTTTCGAGCAAACTGTCCCAATTCATCGGCATCAATTCTATCATCATCATGTTAAAATTTACTTTCCAGTTCTTTCGTTGGTTTTCCGTTCTCTTCTAGCATTGAAGGAAGAGGGAGTAATCCCGAAATAGCGTAATATGGTCACCCTTACCTAGAGGTGCACCTGAATATACTTCGCCAACGGAAAAAAATCTATAAGGACATGCACGCACACCTAGCAACTGGGCCGAAGATAAATAAGTTTGGTTGTCTTTGGGGACTTCAACGCCTGCGTCGGCACAGATCATACTGTCTGGAGAGGAGTGCTAGATCCTCGTCGTCTTGGCGTCTGCCTCTCCTGCGACGCTGTGCAAATCACAGAATGATCATAAGTAAAGCCTTATTCCGCCTCCCGATGCGGGAGATGGCAACCTAAGCGCACACTCGGTTGCGACACCAGCGCCTGCCGAACTATTACCTCGTCCGTAGGCTAGACCAGAAGGACGTGCTGGTGACCAGGCGGTCCCGGGTGTCGACGGATGGTCTGACCATCGCCTCGTCATCTTGAAGATGAGGATTCTCCCTCAGCCACGCAGTAGACCTCAAGGTCGCCGCCGACGCGAACGTTTCCCTATAGAACCGGTGGTGTCAACGCCAACGTCAGGACTGGTTCGAGGACAATGACGTCGCCATCACCAATCTGCTCGCCGAGAAGGACCGGTTACACAAAGCCTACGTTAACCGCCTTACCGACGCAAACGAAACAGCCTTCTGCCGAAGTCGCCGCCTTGTGCAGCAGCGGCTGCGGGAAATGTAAGAAGTCCGAGAATATTCATGGATACGCGGACCGCAACGAATACATGAACTTATTCGCTGCTAACACGACTGTCTACGGCCCCACAACCAAAGTAACCGCTCCTCTTTCCAGCGCCAACGGAACTGCCCTATTCACCGATAAAGCACAGATTCTAAATCACCGGGCCAAGTAT